AAATCTTGGTCACGTGGTATGATCCCTGGCTCCTGATTGGTTACTGCCCCTATGAGCGCTATTTACTACTTACACTACTCGAGAGATTTTAATTGTTGTACTGCAGTTGCTGCAGGCACTTTGGTGACTTGTAAATTTCTTTCCTAAATGCTGACCTCAATGGCTCATGGTTAGTCTCAATGTCTCATCTGTATAGGTATTGGTCAAACTTGTCACACAACCAAGTGATGGCGACCATCTCGCTTGACTTATGCATAATGAGACTGTCAGTAGGGGCTCAGTAAGCGTAAGCAGGCTGGCTATCTTGCAGCAATATGGCTCCTAAGCGAGACTGTTGTTTACATTGGACAGTGATTGGCTTGCTTGCATCATAGTAGAGAAGAACAGATGCCTCTGTCAGGAACTTCTTGATCATGTTCATTGCAAGGCAGTGTTGTTCCAAACACTAGAACTCCACATTGTATCTTTCAGGTATCTGAGTGGCTATCTCATGTCTGATAGGTGAGGGGTAAACTTTGCAAGATAGGTCATCAACTTCACCATGGTGATAACCTCCGGTTCAAGCATCTGCAATATGGCCTGGATCTTCTTTGGGTTAGGCCTTAGGCCCTGAGAACCGATAGGTGACCCATGAATTTCACACTTGACAGGTGCTGTTTCACTTTGGCACAAATCAACAATAGCTTCCAAAGGCAGTATTTCTTGAGAAAAGTGGGCTCATTTTGTTTTGTGACTGTTGTGTACTTCTTGGTCAATACTGCCAAATCCAGCAATCAGGAAGTCATCTGCTATCACTTCCACTCCTTCCAGATCCTCCACAACTTGTACACTGTACATTCCCACACCTCTGGTGCTGAACAGATATCAAGTGGCATCCTCTCCAATCTGTACCACCTGCTAGTTTTGAAATGCCGATCATTTATCAATTTCCTCTACAACTTCCTACTGATTTATTATCAGTTATTATTCAAGCCAAGTACGTGATTTCAAAATCAAAGCTTTCATAAAATTGTCATTTTCACACGTATGTAATAGTTTTAGAAATTTTGCCACTAGGAAGTTGTCTTTATTGTGGGTGCCACGTTTCTCACAACGCCCTAGTTTTTTCACAAGCATAGGCAATATAAGATGACGTGCAACTTCTTTTAGTCAGAGATTGTTAGTGAAGTTACACCGCTACTGTGCTACGATCAGAGGATCCAAGT